CACATGTACAGCGGTTGAAACATCTGTTTCCGAAATAAAAACATCTGTATCCTAAATGGAAACAAATAGATACAATGTTTTCAACCGCTGTATATGTGAAGGAACTGTCAGAGAACTGTCAGAAATTGCGGAGCTCTCTGCAGGGACACTTTTGCCGGCTGATCGGGGGGAAAAATCCGATTCGCGCATCCGAAGTAGGCAAATATTCGGATTCGACGCGAATCGAATTTTTCCTGAAATTCGTATCGAATTCCACTTCGCCTGGTTCGATTCGCTCATCTCTAATTATTATGCCAGCTGATTTCATAGAAAAACAGCCTTTGCTTACATGTTTATTTGTAACATGTTCATTTTAAATTGGCAGGTTTTCCTTTACTCCTTCATGACCAAACATTTTTGAAACCTAGATGCCCAGACCAAATTTAGGAATGTCAGTATGCTCCAATTTACTGGAACTCCCACTTTCTGAGTCACTTCTTGTCTCCGCCCCCTACCCACCCTGGAGCACCATCACTTGGTACCACCCCCTACCCACCTTCCAGTACTTCTCCTTTTAGAGAATACAGAACCAAGTACCATTTAGTGGTTCTAACTGATTTGTATGGAATTTGGTAATAACAAGAAAAGCAGAAAAATAGATTCCCCCCTTACCCAGCAACAATAGATTCCTCCAGCAACAATGGACTCCCAAAACAAAATACCACCCCAGCAACAATAGACCCCCAACATCCACCTTCAATAGACTCTCCAGCAGCCAGCAACAATAGACAAGGCAATAGACCCTCCCTCAACAATAGATCCCTTACAGCAACAACTGGCCCAATTAACAATAGATCCCCCACCAGCAACAATAGACCCCCCCAGTAATAATAGACCACCACACAGAAATAGATCCCCTTCAGTGACAATAGGTCCCCAACCAGCCAGCAACAATAGATCCTCCAGCACACCCCAGCACCCCGTGCCATTACATACAGTCAGGTCCATAAATATTGGGACATCAACACAATTCTAACATTTTTGGCTCTATACACCACCACAATGGATTTGAAATGAAACAAACAAGATGTGCTTTAACTGCAGACTGTCAGCTTTAATTTGAGGGTATTTACATCCAAATCAGGTGAACGGTGTAGGAATTACAACAGTTTGCATATGTGTGCCTCCCACTTGTTAAGGGACCAAAAGTAATGGGACAATTGACTTCTCAGCGGTTCCATGGCCAGGTGTGTGTTATTCCCTCATTATCCCAATTACAATGAGCAGATAAAAGGTCCAGAGTTCATTTCAAGTGTGCTATTTGCATTTGGAATATTTTGCTGTCAACTCTCAAGATGAGATCTAAAGAGCTGTCACTATCAGTGAAGCAAGCCATGATTAGGCTGAAAAAACAAAACAAACCCATCAGAGAGATAGCAAAAACATTAGGCGTGACCAAAACAACTGTTTGGAACATTCTTAAAAAGAAGGATCGCAGCGGTGAGCTCAGCAACACCAAAAGACCCGGAAGACCACGGAAAACAACTGTGGTGGATGACCGAAGAATTCTTTCCCTGGTGGAGAAAACACCCTTCACAACAGTTGGCCAGATCAAGAACACTCTCCAGGAGGTAGGTGTATGTGTGTCAAAGTCAACAATCAAGAGAAGACTTCACCAGAGTTAATACAGAGGGTTCACCACAAGATGTAAACCATTGGTGAGCCTCAAAAACAGGAAGGCCAGATTAGAGTTTGCCAAACGACATCTGAAAAAGCCTTCACAGTTCTGGAACAACATCCTATGGACAGATGAGACCAAGATCAACTTGTACCAGAGTGATGGGAAGAGAAGAGTATGGAGAAGGAAAGGAACTGCTCATGATCCTAAGCATACCTGTCAGGGCTCCCAGGTATGACCAGAGGTGTGTGACTGAAGCAGGGAAACGCAGACTTCAGATATGTGATTAACAATGTAATTTATTAACACTAACAATACAAACATAAATGCAGTGCAATACTAAACATAATACAGTGCAAACAAACCCAACCAACCACCCACAGATAACAGTACATACAAGCAAGCGTCGTCAGGCAGGCCGAGTCAATATCAATTGGGCAGGTAGGTACAGGGGGAGCAAGCGGAGAATGGTCGGGGGGGTCACAGGCCAGGTTCAGCAGGTAGCAAGCAGCGTAGTACAGAGGGTCAGGCAGAGGGATGGTCAGGGTCACAAGCCAGGGATCAGAACAGGTAGCAAGCAGCGTAGTACAGAGGGTCAGGCAGAGGGATGGTCAGGGTCACAAGCCAGGGATCAGAACAGGTAGCAAAGGAACAGAAACAGGATGCAGGACAGATACAGGGCCCAGGACAAACACAACACCAAGGCAGAGTCTGCAAGTCTGGCCATCCCTTAAATACACCAGTATCATCAGTTCCAGGTGTTAGCTGGCTGAAAGGTTGAGTCTGATTGCTGGGAGCACCCGCTGGCCAGCCCTGGTACTGCAGATCAAAAGGCAGGTGAGTCCCACCATTGCTGGCCAGTCCATTCCTGACAGTACCCCCCCCTCAAACAGTCCTAGCTGGGAAAAATGTTCCACCGCCCGGGTCTGGTAACTGGCGGGATATCAAAGACTGGCACACCGGGCAGGACTCCGGGCAGCGGTACACCGGGCAGAGGCACATCGGGCTGGACTCCGGGCAGAGGCACAGAGCACCGGGCTGGACTCCGGGCAGAGGGCACACCGGGCTGGACTCCGGGCAGAGGCACATCGGGCTGGACTCCGGGCAGAGGCACATCGGGCTGGACTCCGGGCAGAGGCACATCGGGCTGGACTCCGGGCAGAGGCACATCGGGCTGGACTCCGGGCAGAGGCACATCGGGCTGGACTCCGGGCAGAGGCACATCGGGCTGGACTCCGGGCAGAGGCACATCGGGCTGGACTCCGGGCAGAGGCACATCGGGCAGAGGCACATCGGGCTGGACTCCGGGCAGAGGCACATCGGGCAGGACTCCGGGCAGAGGCACATCGGGCTACCAGGCGAAGCGGCAGGCAGCGGGCCCCCGGGGCGGGGCGACAGGCCTCGGGCCCCCGGGCGGGGCGACAGGCCTCGGGCCCCCGGGCGGGGCGACAGGCCTCGGGCCCCCGGGCGGGGCGACAGGCATCGGGCCCCCAGGCGGAACGGCAGGTCTCGGGCCCCCAGGCGGAGCGGCAGGTCTCGGGCCCTCAGGCGGAGCGGGGGTGCCGGACCCCCAGGCGGGGGGTGACAGGCATCGGACCCCCAGGCGGGGCGACAGGCATCGGACCCCCAGGCGGGGCGACAGGCATCGGGCCCCCAGGCGGGGCGACAGGCATCGGGCCCCCAGGCGGAACTACAGGTCTCGGGCCCTCAGGCGGAGCGGCGGGCGCCGGACCCCCAGGTGGAGCGACAGGTCTCGGGCCCCCAGGCGGAGCGACAGGTCTCGGGCCCCCAGGCGGAGCGACAGGTCTCGGGCCCTCAGGCGGAGCGGCGGGAGCCGGACCCCCAGGTGGAGCGACAGGTCTCGGGCCCTCAGGCGGAGCGGCGGGCGCCGGACCCCCAGGTGGAGCGACAGGTCTCGGGCCCTCAGGCGGAGCGGCGGGCGCCGGACCCCCAGGTGGAGCGACAGGTCTCGGGCCCTCAGGCGGAGCGGCTGGCGCCGGACCCCCAGGTGGAGCGACAGGTCCGGGCCCTCAGGCGGAGCGGCGGGCGCCGGACCCCCAGGTGGAGCGACAGGTCTCGGGCCCTCAGGCGGAGCGACAGGTCTCGGGCCCCCAGGCGGGGCGGCAGGCGCCAGACCCCCAGGTGGAGCGACAGGTCTCGGGCCCCCAGGCGGAGCGGCAGGTCTCGGGCCCTCAGGCGGAGCGGCGGGTGCCGGACCCCCAGGTGGAGCGACAGGTCTCGGGCCCTCAGGCGGAGCGGCGGGCGCCGGACCCCCAGGTGGAGCGACAGGTCTCGGGCCCTCAGGCGGAGCGGCGGGCGCCGGACCCCCAGGTGGAGCGACAGGTCTCGGGCCCTCAGGCGGAGCGGCGGGCGCCGGACCCCCCAGGTGGAGCGACAGGTCTCGGGCCCTCAGGCGGAGCGGCGGGCGCGGGACCCCCAGGCGGAGCGACAGGTCTCGGGCCCCCAGGCGGAGCAGCGGGCACCGAGTCACCAGGCATGACAGTGGGCTCCGAGTCAACTGGCATGACCGCTGGCACTAGGTCAGACATTGGATCGTCTGGCTGGACAGCGGGCATCGGGTCACCAGGCATCAGGTCATTTGGCTCGACAGCGGGCACCGTGTCATCTGGCAAGGCAGTGGGCTCCGAGTCAACTGGTATGACCGCGGGCACTGGGTCAGACATTGGATCGTCTGACCGGACAGCGGGCATCGGGTCACCAGGCATCAGGTCATTTGGCTCGACAGCGGGCACCGTGTCATCTGGCAAGGCAGTGGGCTCCGAGTCAACTGGTATGACCGCGGGCACTGGGTCAGACATTGGATCGTCTGACCGGACAGCGGGCATCGGGTCACCAGGCATCAGGTCATTTGGCTCGACCGCGGGCACCGCGTCATCTGGCAAGGCAGTGGGCTCCGAGTCAACTGGTATGACCGCGGGCACTGGGTCAGACATTGGATCGTCTGACTGGACAGCAGGCATCGGGTCACCAGGCATCAAGTCATTTGGCTTGACAGCGAGCACCGCGTCATCTGGCAAGGCAGTGGGTTCCGAGTCAACTGGCATGACCGCGGGCACTGGGGCAGACATTGAATCGTCTGGCTGGACAGCGGGCATCGGGTCACCAGGCATCAGGTCATTTGGCTTGCCAGCGGGCACCGCGTCATCTGGCAAGGCAGTGGGGCACCGGGTCACCAGGCATTGGATCGTCTGGCTCGACAGCGGGCATCGGGTCACCAGGTATGACAGCGGGCACTGGGTCACCAGGCATCAGGTCATTTGGCTTGACCGCGGGCACCGCGTCATCTGGCAAGGCAGTGGGCTCCGAGTCAACTGGTATGACCGCGGGCACTGGGTCAGACATTGGATCGTCTGACTGGACAGCAGGCATCGGGTCACCAGGCATCAAGTCATTTGGCTTGACAGCGAGCACCGCGTCATCTGGCAAGGCAGTGGGTTCCGAGTCAACTGGCATGACCGCGGGCACTGGGGCAGACATTGAATCGTCTGGCTGGACAGCGGGCATCGGGTCACCAGGCATCAGGTCATTTGGCTTGCCAGCGGGCACCGCGTCATCTGGCAAGGCAGTGGGCACCGGGTCACCAGGCATTGGATCGTCTGGCTCGACAGCGGGCATCGGGTCACCAGGTATGACAGCGGGCACTGGGTCACCAGGCATCAGGTCATTTGGCTCGCCAGCGGGCACCGCGTCATCTGGCAAGGCAGTGGGCACCGAGTCACCAGGTACGACAGCGGGCTCTGAGTCAATTGGCACGACAGCGGGCACCGGATCAGGTACCGGATCATCTGGATCAACAGCGGGCATCGAGTCAACTGGCCTAATAGGATCGTCAGGCTGGATCAGTTCATCATGCTGGGTAGAGGCATCAGGCTGAATGCCGGCGTCCGGCTGAGTAGAGGCTTCAGGCCGAGTAGAGGCTTCAGGCCGAGTAGAGGCATCAGAGCCAGGCCGAGTAGAGGCTGCAGGCCGAGTAGAGGCTGCAGGCCGAGTAGAGGCATCAGGCCGAGTAGAGGCATCAGGCCGAGTAGAGGCTTCAGGCCGAGTAGAGGCATCAGGCCGAGTAGAGGCATCAGGCTGAAGAGAGGCATCAGGCTGCATACAGGCATCAGGCTGAAGAGAGGCATCAGGCTGCGTACCGGCATCAGGCTGAAGAGAGGCATCAGGCTGCGTACAGGCATCAGGCCGAGTAGAGGCTTCAGGCCGAGTAGAGGCTTCAGGCCGAGTAGAGGCTTCAGGCTGAGTAGAGGGCTTCAGGCTGAACCACGGAAGGCAGGCTCACCGGTTTGGATACTGGCAGGATGGTATTGGTTGGAAAGAATTTTCGCTTTTTTCTGGTTTTAACTACTGGAGCACTGCAAGTAAACGCAGGTCTGCAAACGAATGGAGCAGCTGGAGACAGAGAAGAACTGGAGGATGGAACAGGAGAGGGAGCAGTTGCTACAGAGGGCTTTTTTACAGGGTTAAAGGCAGGATAGGTGCAGCGAGTGGGAACAGGGTACTGACATGCGGTAGATAGCCAAGTATACTGGGCTGTAACTGGAGGAGCTGGTGGGAATACAGGAGTAGAGTTAGAAGCAGGACTGGGTTTTTGTAAGCTGACTGAGGCTGGGTGCAACAAGTCTGTCCATGTCTGCAGTATGGGTTGAACAAAGCTGAGTTTACACAAAGCCTGTCTGGTCAATGACTGCACTGCGTTTATACAATCTCTTAGTGTCTGTGGTGAACATGTGGAATAACGCTCCAGAAAGTAACCCACATCATCCTCTAATAACCACACCAGGGACTCTACCTGGTCTGCACTAAATGGTGGCAAAAATTCATCCCTGCATTCGGGGGAACCAGATGAAACCAACTCTGCACAAACCTCAATCAAAGGCTGCACCTCAGAGAACTCTGTGCCCTGATCTACTAGAACATGAGCGAGCCGTATACATTCTAGCAGTTCATCCCGGGTATACTCCTTCAGAGTTTGATAAGCATACTCCCTGTCATCAAACACTAGCAGATATAAATACGCAACCTCATCCAGATCCATCCTTCCCATCAACAAGCCAAGATGGCTTCCCTGTGCAGCCACTTCTGGTCAGCATTGGCCTTGGTGTAATGTCAGGGCTCCCAGGTATGACCAGAGGTGTGTGACTGAAGAGGGAAACGCAGACTTCAGATATGTGATTAACAATGTAATTTATTAACACTAACAATACAAACATAAACGCAGTGCAATACTAAACATAATACAGTGCAAACAAACCCAACCAACCACCCACAGATAACAGTACATACAAGCAAGCGTCGTCAGGCAGGCCGAGTCAATATCAATTGGGCAGGTAGGTACAGGGGGAGCAAGCGGAGAATGGTCGGGGTCACAGGCCAGGTTCAGCAGGTAGCAAGCAGCGTAGTACAGAGGGTCAGGCAGAGGGATGGTCAGGGTCACAAGCCAGGGATCAGAACAGGTAGCAAGCAGCGTAGTACAGAGGGTCAGGCAGAGGGATGGTCAGGGTCACAAGCCAGGGATCAGAACAGGTAGCAAAGGAACAGAAACAGGATGCAGGACAGATACAGGGCCCAGGACAAACACAACACCAAGGCAGAGTCTGCAAGTCTGGCCATCCCTTAAATACACCAGTATCATCAGTTCCAGGTGTTAGCTGGCTGAAAGGTTGAGTCTCTGATTGCTGGGAGCACCCGCTGGCCAGCCCTGGTACTGCAGATCAAAAGGCAGGTGAGTCCCACCATTGCTGGCCAGTCCATTCCTGACAATACCACCTCATCAGTGAAGCATGTTGGTGGTAGTGTCATGGCGTGGGCATGTATGGCTGCCAATGGAACTGGTTCTCTTGTATTTATTGATGATGTGACTGCTGACAAAAGCAGCAGGATGAATTCTGAAGTGTTTCGGGAATATTATATCTCATATTCAGCCAAATGCTTCAGAACTCATTGGATGCCGCTTCACAGTGCAGATGGACAATGACCCAAAGCATACTGCAAAAGCAACCAAAGAGTTTTTTAAGGGAAAGAAGTGGAATGTTCTGCAATGGCCAAGTCAATCACCTGACCTGAATCCGATTGAGCATGCATTTCATTTGCTGAAGACAAAACTGAAGGGAAAATGCCCCAAGAGAACAAGCAGGAACTGAAGACAGTTGCAGTAGAGGCCTGGCAGAGCATCACCATGGATGAAACCCAGCGTCTGGTGATGTCTATGCATTCCAGACTTCAGGCTGTAATTGACTGCAAAGGATTTGCAACCAAGTATTAAAAAGTGAAAGTTTGATTTATGATTATTATTCTGTCCCATTACTTTTGGTCCCTTAACAAGTGGGAGGCACATATGCAAACTGTTGTAATTCCTACACCGTTCACCTGATTTGGATGTAAATACCCTCAAATTAAAGCTGACAGTCTGCAGTTAAAGCACTTCTTGTTCTTTTCATTTCAAATCCATTTTGGTGGTTTATAGAGCCAAAAATGTTAGAATTGTGTCGATGTCCCAATATTTATGGACCTGACTGTACATTCAGTGCTGCGGGTGCCGGAACTGCGTTCCCCCACATTCCTGCTGAAAAAAAGTCCTGGGCACACTGTTCAAATAAATTCCCTGCTTATGATTTCTTACAAGTTGACAAATGTAAAAAAATGTTCTTATACATTTTACAGTTAAGGGCTCATGTACACGGTGCGTTTGGAAAACTCTTCTGAACCATGGAAACTGACTGCTGGAAAACATAGATTAAAAAACGTCAGTTTAGCCATGTTTGCATACCACGTTTATGCGCATTTGCGTTTAGAAGCGTTTTTAAAAGATAACCTCAGCAGATCCTTCCAAGTGCCAAAAAGGCACTGCAAATTAGTAAAAAAATTTACTGTTTCAGACATTTTGAGAGGAATTGAGAGAGCAGAAGCAGAGAGAGCAGTATGTGTTGAGATGACCTATCTTTTCTGGTTGTATTCACTATGGATCCATGGAAACCGCTTTTCATGCATTTCTGATGATGAAAAAAGGCTCTGGACAGCATCTGGATATGAAGCAGTTAAAAAACGCTTCTAAATGCAGACGCTTATAAACGCGGTTAACCGCGTTTACAAGCATTTGGCATTTGAAACGCCGCCGGTAAAATCTACTCCTGAACACAAGTTCGGTGCGTTCAAAAAAATGACTGTAAACTTAACTGCCTGTAAATTACTGTAAACAACTATTTGTACATGGACACATAGGAAAACATTAGGGAGAGTTCAGGGGCTGCTGAAAAAAACAACTGTATGAATATCGCAGAAAAAAACGCATTGCTAGCCAAGCTGAAAAGCAGCTGAATCGCACCACATGTGTTCCTTGAATCACACTTAAAAAGTGAAGGAATTTGCACTGCTGCAGTGAAAACATAGCCTTAATACTTTTTATGCCTTCCAAATTAGACTTGCTGAGATCAACCGTCACCACGGTGGGCAAGAAATAGTAAAAGCCAAGCCAGCAGATATGTTTTGTAAAAAAAAAACTAATATGATTAGCATGATAGGCTGTTATGGTGATCACATGAGTGGGAACCAATCAGCATGATTCCAGATTGCTAGTGCCAGACCAGCATTGTCAGTGACAACAGGGATTCATAGCTAAAGGCCTGCAGAAGGCTCTTAGTTCCAAAACAGAATGTAGATTGCATTCCTTCAGCAAAGAGCACCTTTTAGATTATGGGTAGAAACTGTTTAAATGTTTATCTGTAAAGTAAGTATTTTGTGCAAATAATAAAAAATAATGATTGAACGTATCAACTTACAAACTTAAAAATAAAACTGACTAAAAAAAACTTTACTTTAACAACCATGACTGCTATTCATTTTTGAAAATAACACAGAAGACATTTGTTGTACATATACAAAAACGCTGAGCAAAGGAGATGAAAAAAAGCATTTAAAAAAGTGTAATGTTCAGGTTGGAACAATTAAGTTTGTGTGTTGCTGAACCAGATGATTGCCTGTCCATGGAGTGTGGTTGAGCATGTGGTTGTCTGTATGAGGAATTGAATGCTAGCACTTGTCTACAAGGACAACAGAGATGCCTATAGGGGCTTGCTTGGAGTTGTAATTTTAGAGAGAAAGGAGAGATGCTTTTGAAACATATTTAGCCTTTTAGTTTTACAGAGAGGTAGGGATGACTGTGGATTATCATGTGTCCTGCAGCCTTCCAAAGACAACAGACCTGTAGATACTTGTAGTTGCTCAAATACGGTAGAGGTACCAGTGCAGCATACTGAGGACTTCTTATTCTACAAATATTTGAGATGTCAGAGTGATTGACTTTATTCTATGGCATGTGATTATTTAGTAAAAGTTGACATTGTTTCACTTTCCATATTAATAGTCATTTTACAAGGAGAGCACACACCCTTTTCAAACAGCATCCTCAACTCTTTTAGGGCTTATTCCCACTGCACAGCGCATTACGCATAGCACATAAAGCAAGTCTGTTGATTTGAGATATGGGCATGCACTGCCATGTGCTGTTATGCATTGTTATAATGCATTCAGGTGCATTACCCTCTTGAGAGCCACTGGCTTTGGGTCCCCCTTTACTTCTGCATAGCCAGGCAACACAAATTTTCCAGACACAACTAAC